AATAATAATAATAATAATAATAACAATAATTGGTGTGGCGCCTTTCAAAATTCCCAAAACTTAACCCAATATAAAATACACACACACACACACACGCACGCACACACACACACATACACACACACACACACACACACAAGCATATTATTCCATTTCCCATCCTGACTCAAAGACTCAACTACGCGTATCTTAATCTTAAGTAAATCAAACCAAGAACTCTCACATGAGAAGAGCGCACTGTAGGCTACCTATAAGTTTTTCTTTGTAGCAAAAGGGGGTTCCACAGCCAACATGACAACTATACTATAAAAAGAGCTGTCCCCGTCGTTTTATACAAGAACAATTCTGAAATTATGCAAACTGAGCCCAAAAATGTGAAATAATGCAATTCTGTTTTTTTAACAAAGAATGATAAAGGAAATTAATAATCAGAAATTATGCCCAAAAAATGATCAAATTTTGCTAAATTATGCGGGGTGCATAAAACCACGGGGAGCCTTACACACGAATTTCCCTCTTGGCTCGGTCCTTTCGGAGATGGAAGTTAAACTCGGAGTCCCGCCTCTAAAATAACCACAGAATTCTACACTAAGTGTAGAATTCTGTGAAAATAACCTAATAGTGTTGGTAGGGGCGTTTAACCTATTATAGGCCTACAATTTCACCATTTTCCCAGTGCATTTTTTTTTTTTGCCTCAACACCTTATACGTCAATTTAAAAATACATTTTATATGTGGATTTTACTGAAAAACGTTGATGAAAGGTACTATATAAGGGCAAATTTCCCGTTTCCAAAGACTCCTAAGCAATGGAAGTCACCAAACTTTGGCAGCCCTTTTGTCGCTAATTTTACCCCTGAAAACAGGCGACCCCATCCCCTTTAATTGCAAATATCTTGGCTTCTATTCAATATAGGTGGGTATTTTCTTCACAGAAAGCAAGACAAATGAACAAGTTTTAATTTAAAATGATACCATTAACTCCACATGCCCCTAAAAACTGACAAGCGCCTGATTCCGCCGGGCCGTCATGCACATAAAAAGCTTATTATATATCTACACTTTTAACCCTATCCGCACGCCCTGGGGTCATTTTGTACCCCCGGGGTTGTATTCTTCACATTTTAGAATACTTCTAGTTCGAAGATCTCTTTGAAACCTTCAGTATTTCTAATTAAAAAACCATTTTGACAGACTGCTATGCAAAGCGTATGGATCGGATTAACGAGTAAATGTCCTCTTTGGAAAGTGTTGGCACAGAGTTCCCCACGTTGTATGGATACGATAGTAAAACTCGACGTCCGGATAGGGTTTACAAATGTGTACAGTAAAATCTACAATCCTGATTACAGACTTCACAGAACCAGGGAATTTCTTTTTCGAGTAATGCAGGCATCATCATGCTAAAGGAAGTTGTAATGCATAATATAATATAATAAAGCAAAGATGGACCCCCCCCCCCCCCCCCAACCGAGGATTTGAAATCCTTCCATGGTACATGTAGGACTACCAGGAATTTCATGCAAAAAAAAAAAAGAGTCCATTATCTGGACACAGTTTTTTTATAGTTATGGGCAGTTTTCGCTTAACTAAAAGAAGATGAAATCTATTAACAATTGATAACAACTTCTTTGTTTCAAAAGATAGAAAAGTACAGTAGATCATCCTCAGCAGGCACTATCATCTTTTAGTTTTAGTAAGAATTTTACGGCACTTGCAACACAATAAGGTCATATAAGTGACGAAGAATAGAGGTGTTACAAGAGAATAACAAACATAAAAAAGAAGGAGGAGAGATAAGGACGATAGATGTTTGATAGGAAAGAAGGAGCAAACCACACCAGAGCACCTACCAACCACCCACAAGCACCATCATCATCACACAAAGCTCATTGTGCTAATCAAGAATACAAGCAATGAATTTACTCATTTGCTTTCCAAATTTACATTGCCCTGACTGAAAATAGCATTTGATTTAAGTTTAAGGAACACAAAGTTTCATAACAAAAACACAGATTTAAAAGAACAAACTCCTTAGTTTTTAGTTTTAGTAAGAGTTTTACGGCACTTGCAACACAATGAGGTCATAAGCGCTGAAGATTAGAGGTACTACAAGAGAGACTAACAAACATAACAAAGAAGGAGGAGAGATAAGGACAATAGATGTTTGATAGGAAGGAGGGAACAAACTACACCAGAGCACCTGCCAAACACCAACAAACAAACTCTGTTCGGAAGAAAGTTCGAACATATTACTCACACACAAACGGGACTCAAGAGATAAACTGTTGTGAGTTTTAGTTTTAGTAAGAGTTTTACGACACTTGCAACGCAATAAGGTCATATGAGTGTTGAAGATTAGAGGTGTTACAAGAGAGTAACAAACATAAAAAAGAAGAAGAGGAGATAAGGACGATAGATGTTCGATAGGAAAGTAGAAGCAAACCACACCAGAGCACCCGCCAACCACCCACACAAACTGTTGTGAGGACGAGCTAGACCAAAAAAAAAAAAAAATTGGCAATTCAAACGAGACACACACATAACACAACTCAGGACATCAGTAACAAATTCGCACTTTCTTTTATCAAAGAATTTTTTTTTTTATTGCACTCAGAGAATGAATACAAACAACAAAAATCATGTCACATGATGTTATCATACATAGTCACATCAGTCACTCACCAAGCAGCAGATCACAGTTGCAAGCAATCGCACATTTTACGAGCAATAGAAACCCCTCCCTCCCTAAAAAAAAAATATTCAACGCCAGCTGACCTCATTTCAAACATTACATATATATATATCAATCCACAAAAGTAATCTGCAAGGTCCTTACAGAGACATATATGACAATGAGGTATTATATATCTATATATATAATATATACATTTGGCATGAAGAAAACAGACTTTGTGAAACGGTATTGGAAATTCTCTTCCACAACTCCGTCTAGATCTAGGCCGAAAAAGATAAATTTTGAATTACCTCCTCAGCCATAAACAACATACAGTAGCATATATTTTTTAATTATTTATTCAATATCACCTTCACCAATGAAGATGGTGACAGATTGGTACAGTAGGGAACTCCCCCAGCAAACAGCAACATGATATGAAAAGCCGCTCAATAAAGGGGAAAGGGGAGACCATGGATATTCATTCCTTTTTCTCAAACTTTCTTGACTTCTGTTTTTAAAACATGAATAAAAGTATAATTTAATCAAGAAATCCACACTTTTGCGAGACTAAAATCAAACTTTTAAAAAAAAATGTTAAGACTTCTACAACTGACAAGATTCTGAAAGAGTGTACTGGTATGTTTTCATTTTGTTATCTAACGACTGTCAACCTCTGAGAGACACAATCCTTTTTCTATGAAAACAATCAGCAGAAATACAGACAATCGTCTGACACAGTCATTTTAAAAAAAAGCAATGCAAAAAACGCTCATGAAACTGACATTTGAAATCCTATTATTAGAACAAAACTTTAACTTAAAGTAAAATATTGAAAATATTTCAACAATCAACAAGAACCAGTTTTTGCTGACGTGCCATTTTGGTGTCTGCCAAGACTTTGTGCCATAACGAGGCTTGAAGAAATCAAGTTATTCAGTAGGTAGATGGATCCATCCGACGGTGTAAACTTACTGAAAAAAAAATTTGTTTCAACATACACTTTTCCACCTACCCCAGCAGTTTGGGGACAAAATAAACGACTGAAATATTAGGACGATCATGTGAGATCGAAACGGAATTTGAAAAAAAATTTTTTTTAAAATTGTACATTCATAAAAACAACATTGGGGAAAGCAGGGTTCAAGAGCTCAAAGAATTGAGCAAAGGAGAAGAATTGGTGAGGATAAGCAGGGTACAAACAAGAAATGGGGGGTTGTTGTAAATAAAGAAGAAGGATGAGATGATGACTGGATGGGGTGAGTGAGACCAGGGATATCTCAATCACATAATAAGGGGTGAGCTTATTTCTTTGGTCTCAAAAAGTGTCATACAGCTGTCACCTACAAACAAAAACTAACTACTCCCGAGTTACAAAATGAAGTAAAATTCTATGTGGGGTGTAAAGAAGAGAAAAAGAGTTTCCAATTTCATAGTATGACAGATGGCAGGACTACAGTCCCCCCCTCCCCCCCGGCCTTTTCCCCCACACCGATGCTGGAACACAAGACCAATGAAAGAGAGGTGGGGGGGAATCTGTAAACTGTATTTCAAAAGGCTACAATGTTGGGCCCCGGTTTCGATAGGAATCGATCCTGTAATCTCTGAAGAAGAAAAAAATCTCAGCCACCCTATTGCTTGACTACCATCCGCCTGAGCCAACTTATTGGAATACGCAATGAGCAGATTGAGATGTCCCCGTGGTTTTATGCACCCCGCATAATTTAGCAAAATCTGATCATTTTTTGCTCAATTCCAGCTTATTTTCCTTTATCGTTCTTTGTTAAAATTAACTGAATCGCACAATTTCACATTTTTGGGCTCAGTTTGCATAATTTCAGAATTTTTCTCGCAAAAAATGACGGGGACAGATTGAGTAAGACCACACTCATATTCCAGAAGAATCTTCAAATCGTGAGAGCAAGTGATGAAGACTGCTGGCGGAATCTACAACAAGCGGTAGATTTGTGCCAGTAGGTGAGTCATGTTGAAGGGGGTTAGTTAGCCTGCATGGGAGGACAAAAGGGAGGCTGATCCATCTCTTTATCTGGTACCTCCTGTCATGGATCTGTGCGGGGTCACCAGACTTTCCAGTTTCTCAAAATGCTTGCGGGCATTTTTGATGTTGAGCTGTGTCACTGCGGACGCTGGAGACAAAGAAAGGAAGAGCGATGTGAGATGAGCACTTGAAAAAAATTAAGTAAGTAAGTGTTTTACGACACTTGCAACACAATAAAGTCATATAAGTTTGTTTGTTTTAGTAGAGGTTTTACGGCGCTCGCAACTGCATAAGGTCATATGAGCGCCAGAAGGTCAGAGCTGTTACAAGAGAGTAACGAACATAAAAAAGAAGGGGAGATAAGGACGAAAGTTGTTTGATAGGAAAGAAGAAGCAAACCATACCAGAACACCCGCCAACTACCCACATTTAGAGGTGTTACAAGAGAGTAACTAACACAAAGAAGAAGGAGGAGGAGAGATAAGGACGAAATATGTTTGGTAGTTAAAAAGGAGCAAACCACACCAGAGCACTCACCAACCACCTACCCACATACACACAATTAGAAATAGCCTACTCACGAATTGCAGTATCGGACATGATCACCATCACAACCATGTTTGGCGTGAACATTTCGATGAAGGCAGCGAAGGAAGAGTTTCTCACTTCCATGCTTTCAAAGGCGGCCCCGATTTTTCCACAGCTCAGCTTGAACTGTTTGATGATGTTGCTGATTTTTTCAAAGCGGTGCACGTCGCGGTGCTGGATCCTTTCGCAGTAGGAGATCACCTAGTACATGAGCACATATAAGAAGACAAGTTTCAATCCGATTCTCTGCTTTTAAGTTGTCGTAAGAGTATTATGGCACTTGCAACACAATAGAGGGATGCCAAATAATTTTTGGGAAGAAAAAAAACGGAAAATGAGCGGAGCATCACAGCTCACCTAAAACGTACTTTGTAAAATCTTTAAATGAGCAAACAAAAACATTTCTCTTACCATTCCCCTTTCCTTTGCAAATGTATGAAAAAAACCCGGAAAAACGGAGATTTGGCATCCCTGACAATAAAGTGATATAAGTGCCGAAGATTAGAAGTGTTACAAGAGAGTAACAAACATAAAAAGGAAGGAGGAGAGATCAGGACGATAGATGCTTGATAGGAAAGAAGGAGCAAACCACACCAGAGCACCCGCCAACCACCTACTTTCTCTGCTTTGATATTTGGTTTTCCAACATATAAAAAAAGGTAAGTTTACACATTAAGGAAATTAAATTAATTGGAGAGAAACAGTCTTCGATACCACAAGCAAATACCACCGTATTTTCCAAAAATCTCTGCTCATATTATTTTTTTTATTGGAAATACAGTTGAAACTTTAAGATGGCCACCCATAGTTGTAGAGGAAAGTGGCTGCCTTATACAGTGTTATTATATTATTGTAAAATATGCAAGGGAGAAAATGGGAAGTGGCCATTTGAACAGGTGATTGTCTTATACAGGAGGCCGTTAGAACAGGTGATTGTCTTATACAGGAGGCCGTTAGAACAGGTGATTGTCTTATACAGGAGGCCGTTAGAACAGGTGATTGTCTTATACAGGAGGCCGTTAGAACAGGTGATTGTCTTATACAGGAGGCCGTTAGAACAGGTGATTGTCTTATACAGGAGGCCGTTAGAACAGGTGATTGTCTTATACAGGAGGCCGTTAGAACAGGTAATTGTCTTATACAGGAGGCCGTTAGAACAGGTGATTGTCTTATACAGGAGGCCGTTAGAACAGGTAATTGTCTTATACAGGAGGCCGTTAGAACAGGTGATTGTCTTATACAGGAGGCCGTTAGAACAGGTGATTGTCTTATACAGGTGGCCTTTAGAACAGGTGATTGTCTTATACAGGAGGCCGTTAGAACAGGTGATTGTCTTATACAGGTGGCCTTTAGAACAGGTGATTGTCTTATACAGGAGGCCGTTAGAACAGGTGATTGTCTTATACAGGTGGCCTTTAGAACAGGTTTTTGTTTTAGTAGAGGTTTTTCCGGTGCTCGCAACAGCCTAAGGTCATATTAGCGCAGGAAGATTTGAGGTGTTACATGAGAGTAACAAACATAAAAAAGAAGTAGGGGGGATAAGGATGATAGATGTCTGATAGGAAAGAAGAAGCAAACCACACCAGAGCATCTGCCAACCACCCACGGATACAGTATAATTTCCCACATAAGAATCAAAGTCATGTCTTCAGTGGGCCAAGGGGAAGAGGCCAAACAAAAAAACATTGCCAGTGCAGATAATAGGAACAATACTTAGAACACAACAAATGATAGATCTAAATGTTTACGCCCCCTATCTACACAATCTAGTTTTGTTTTAGTTGAGGTTTTACGGCGCTTGCAACTGCATAAGGTCATATGAGCGCCAGAAGATTAGAGGTGTTACAAGAGAGCAACAAACATAAAAAAGAAGGAGGGGAGATAAGGACGATTGATGTTTGATAGGACAGAAGAAGCAAACCACACCAGTGCACCCGCCAACCACCCACACACAATCTAGATCGTACATATATAGGAGGTGAGAGTATTTATAGTTGCCTTACCAAAAATGTTGCTTTCTCAAACAGTAGGACTTCGTCAGCGTCCAGAATATCAGCAAAGGCAGACAAATTCTCCTCCAGTTGTTGGACATTTGGTATCAGCTGGTACACAATAGACGACCATGCCTGGGTGACAAAGAAATCAGATAATAGCGGGTCACGAGAGTGAAACAAATACACAAAAGAAGTAGAGGAAAAATGACGACAGTAAGGATTAGGAAAGAAAAAGTAGCAGTTCCCTGTTGCAGGTCAGGCACAGTTAAGAGCGTGACATTGATGAATCAGCCAATTTACAATTACAATTTTACTGTGCATAAGAACTCGAGATGTCAATGTCGCCCCCTTTGAAAATGGCCTAAAGACATTTCAGTCAGTAGCACCGCCCCAGGGGGTTAATCACATACTTTGACAAGGGAGGTCAGCACTCAACTTTTAAAAAACAAACGAGCCTCCACTAACGTCAAAAATGTCTGTTAGCAATGTCATTGTATACTCAATTCATCTGCAAGGAGTTCAAGTTATAGTCAATAAGTACTACTCAACACTTTTTGTGGGCTGTCTTTTTCCTTTCACTTTCTAGTTTCACAGATTAACTTATTCTTACTTACTTTTATCTGCCGCTTATACCCTTTTGGGTGTCGCGGGATTAACTTATTCAGCAGAAAAAACATCAGAGTATATCTTATTACTGAACAATTTATTTCTGCTCCACAAGACAGCCCCTGATTGTTGAGGAGAAAAGCGATTGTCTTAGACATTTAAGCCTCTTACACAGTGTCATTATAATGTTTCCAAAAAAAAAAAAAAAAAAAAAAAAAAAAAAGGGGAGAAAAGAAAAAAAAAACAGGGAGAAAAGAAAAAAAAACAGGGAGAAAATGAAAAAAAGATCATTTGTACTCGTGATTGTCATATATAATGGTGGCCATTAGAACAGGTACCATTGTTGTATTTGGTAGAACACATCATGAGCCCATGTGCTTATGCACCCTCTCACCTTGTACAAAGTCTCGTCCCAGATAGACGTAGCGAAGCATGTGCACTCCAATGGTTTGGACAACCTTTTTAAGTCTTCCTGCCTTTCATGAAATATCTGTTGAAACATAACGGAACAAAAAAAATATAACGCCAGGTGAAATGAAAAAAATAACAATCATAATATTATTTAATAGATCATTCTCATAGCGTGTACACCTGTGTGCACACAGCTCTAGGCGCTTTTCATTCATTTAAGTACAAAGAAAATTTGCTCATATGCACGCACACTTACAATACACACTTATTCATGCACAAGCACACACATCTCTCTCCTCACACACACACACACACACACACACACACACACACACACACACACACACATCTTCTCTCTCATCACACACACACACACACACACACACACACACACATCATTGTGAGTGACCATACAAATACATAGTGTAATATACACAATGCGATCTGTAGGTAAACAAAAAAGCATAAATAAATATAATATGACCGTTTACATTATATTGTACAGAAAATAAAGCAACTGAGTTAGAAATTTTTCTTTATGTGATCAATTTAAAGAGAAATAGAATTCATAAGAAGACACCAAGGTTAAAAGAAAATGTATAAAGTCTTTTACTGGGTGGCATTTTTTTTTTATTGAAAGATAAGCAATTGAATAATCTTTTAGATGATACCAATAACCCCACATGCCCAAAATTTGACAAGCGCCCGACTGTGACACATATAAAAATTCACCAAGAGCCCTTACCATATCCCTTTGATCGTCTTGCACCAAATCCATTTTGTGAATCAGGCAAAACACTTTTGCCTCTGGGGAATTTTGCAAGATTGCTTCCAAGCAAGACTGGTAGTAGTGAATGTCTTTTTCCAGCTCCCTGCTTTCCACATCAAAGACGTAGATGAGAACCTCCACATTCCTGAAAATGTTGTCACGTTGGCTGGCAAAGTAGTTTTCCATGAAGGCCTCTTGACTAAAAAAAAAAAAGAGAAAAATATTCAAATCAAATCATAAGTAAGAAAAAAAAGAAAGAGATAATTTTTATTCAGAAATGTGTGCTTCAATCACTCAAAACAGGAAACAAGCTGCAGTTGAACTTTTCATCTTAAGGTCCGGGACTCAGCCCATCAATATGTAAAAATTTGAGAAAAAAACATGCAAAATATACCATGGACTTTGAAATACAGTACTATACAAATAAAACCACAGACAAAACAGCCAGCACCTGTGTGCACACTGGCAAAATGCAACTGTGGCAGCCCAAGCTGTTCTACGAAGGCTCTTGCCAATGGCAAAGTTCCCCAATAACAACCACGAAAATAAAGTATATAAAAAAAAAAATAATTAATAACAACCACTAAAAGACTTGAAATGTACTTACCCACCACAATCCCACAGATTCAGAACCAGGTTGCCCAAAAAACGTACGTGTGAGTGCTCAACATCAACTGAAAAAGATGACAGCGCAAAGTTGAGCTCATCGGTCTATCAAACAAATTAAGAGAGAGTTTTATCAATTACAAAACTGACACAGAAGTTCATGTTGCACAAAATATTTTCTTGTCCCAATAACTGCAACATGGAACATGACTAATACTCAATATATATATCCCATCTAATATCTAATAACTACTCTACATGACACCATTTTTCAAAGAATCTTTCATATAATTCTAGCACTACACTGGTACAGATGTCAAATGTTTAAACAGTACGGCTGGATTTTTTTAAAAGCTGAGACAATGAAAGCAAATATTCTTGCCGTTTCCGAGTTCCAACAGCTAATTTTTAAAATTTTAAGATGTTAATGATTAATTCTGAAGAACACAATCCCACATTCTGGAGAACAGATGAAAAGATTTTATGTAAGATTTCAAAATTCCTGCAATTCTAAAGAACAAATGAAAATAAGATTTTTCAAAAAGTGAATATTTTCTCTATTACAAAAGCAAAAGAAATTATTTTCTTTATCGTGAAAGAAAAAGAATTGGTTCAGTTAAATGAACATTCAAGACCAAAGAAGAATGGTCAGGACCACTGACGCTATCCCAAATATAATGACCATAAAAAAGAAGTACTCACTTGTAGCACCCAGTCTACGGGTATCTCTTGCAATATAATTGGCAAAAATGATGGATCTCATGCTTGTTTTGCCTGAGCCACTTTTGCCCATAAGAAGAACCTGTGAATGTTCATGATACAGAAAATAAGAAAGGTGAAAAGCAAAAATTCAAACTTATAGAATTTGACTGAAAACTTTTCATGCAACAAGTAAGAGCACAGATAACATATACAGGGCAGCTACCTTAAATTTCCCACTTCAGGTTCAATCTGGGGTGTATTTGGGCAAAAAAAATCAGAGTACAGACAGAGAAGGAATTTTAGCACTAGTTGTGTGTTTGGACTATTACTATGTAAGTAGTCTGGGCCTAAACGCACGCCATACAAAAGCACGCTCCGCTCAAAAGCACGCTATCGTCATATAACGGCTTTTTACTATATGATTTAGATCATGTACAAACGCACGACCACTTCTTCTAAACACACGCTTCGATCCGCGAAACACTGTAACTAATTCTACCCTGAGTATTTAGATTGTTGCCATTATGATTTTGAATGTTCAACTCTGTTAATCTTTTATCTTTAATCTAATGTTATTTCAGAAGCAGCTTGAGGATTTTTATCACATACCCCTGAATAGGGGTATCTGTCAGTCTCATGAAATATAATGAAATAGTGGTTCAATTTCATATGATATAGCAATGCCAATTGGGCTTTCCCGCGCTGCGAAAATTTGGTCCCCGTTTGCGGGCGATTTTGCTGACCCGGCCGAAGCGTAGGTGATTAACTTTGTCAACCTCGGTCTGCTCTATTTCCGAACCAATCCGAATGAAACTCGGCAACCAATCAGAAA